TACATATATATATATATATATATATATATATATATATCTTAAAACAAAGAAAGCTCAATTCTTGGGTAATCCCAAAATCTGATTTATTTTATTATTCACCACATCAAATTAAAAATGACCTCCAAAAGAGGAGGGCACATCCGTCCTCACATCCCAAGTACATGCAAAGGGTAAGCCAGCCAGCTATGTGATATATCCACCATCAATTTGGTGCTGTCGTGGGCACCACAAACCACGAGATTCAAAATCATAACAAATCCAACGGCCAGGATCTTTATAAAGCCTGAATTTGAGTTCCATTTCAGCTGAATATATCTATATCTCATTTGAGGCTGAATTTCACCTGCCCTGTTCTAAAACAAGAGAGCGAGCACCTCACGCTAGGGGCAACAAAACAGAACAGAGGGCACATTTGACTCGCTGCTAGAGGCTGAATAACCCAAAATCCACAGAAAGAGGGAGACCCGTTTCCACCAAGGCCTCAAAGGTACAATCTTTGGCTGCAATTTCGTTTTTTTTTTCCCTATCTTCTTAATGATTTCCATTTTTTTTTCCTGCAATTATTAGTTGTTGATAGTCTTGATCTGTGATAAAGTTTGTGTTTTTCTTGTTTGCATATGTTTTCTGCTCATGCATCGTGTAAATCTGTTTTTTGGGTCCTTCAAATTAAATGGATCAATTCAATTATGCCTAATTTCAAGATGTTTAAACGACAACTTAATTTGGTGAAGTGGTCAGGTGATGTTAATGTATGCTCGCTCTTGGGCATTTGTGTCCTTTATTATGCGAGATCTGAAAAGGATTTCAGGCTAGGTATCAGCAGCGTTTAGAGGTTGAATCATATCCGGGGTTTTATTAGAAATCAGTGATCGACACCGTTTGTATATTTAATTTGAAACTATCGACGTTTCAACCAATCCCGCTAGTTAGTTTGTTGTCCTACATGATTTTCTGCCTTTCATTTGATCTATTTTCTGACAATGAAGAACCTGTTCTTTTAGAATCCGTATTGATATTCTCGATCAAATTCAAGAATGAGTTTGATCTGAATGAATAACTTTAGACGTGCGTCTTGCTTTTGTTCTATCCTGTTGATATGTCCCAGACTCCCAAAAAAAATATGAAATGGGAATAAGAGAGGTTATAATGTCAATATGGTTACTAGCTTGTCGTTTATCTTGATCCGATAACTTAAGATACTTACTTTTTTCCCTCTTTTTCCCGCAGATCTTTAGATGGCAGAAGCCGAGGATATTCAGCCTCTTGTTTGTGATAATGGAACTGGAATGGTTAAGGTAGAATTTGCCTATAATAATGCTTTGTTGAACATATTTTTCTATTTTTTGTATTTAGGATACGAATGTTTGACATTTCATTTGATTCCTACTCTTTTTGTTGCATGATTCAGTTTCATTTGATTCCTATTCTTTTGGTTTGCGTGATTCGGTTCAGGTGGAAAATGACATGATGGAAGTGAATTTCGTTAGTTTCTTCTTGTGAACTAGTAGGTGGATATGATTGATTAACTGTGTATATGCAAGAGATATTTAACAGCTTGATTGTGATATAAACAATATGAACAGCTATCTTCTTCCTAGTGAAATTTTAGTTGGATGTAATTGATAATTGAAAAATGGCAATGGGTGGAAGTGAATAATGCATTTGTAATTTTGTTATCAATTAATCCGATATTGTGGCAAAAAAATATTATCTTCCAAAAATGAAAAATCTATGAAGTTCACTCTCAGGCAATTTCAGATTGTACACAATTTCTTTCGCTTCTAATTTCATGACAACAATTGAAATAACCAGGCTGGATTTGCTGGAGATGATGCTCCTAGGGCTGTCTTCCCCAGCATAGTGGGCCGCCCTCGTCACACAGGTGTGATGGTTGGCATGGGCCAAAAAGATGCCTATGTGGGTGATGAGGCCCAATCCAAGAGAGGTATCTTGACTCTAAAGTACCCAATTGAGCACGGAATAGTGAGCAACTGGGATGACATGGAGAAGATTTGGCATCACACTTTCTACAACGAGCTTCGTGTTGCCCCTGAGGAGCACCCGGTCCTTTTGACCGAAGCTCCTCTTAACCCAAAGGCCAATCGTGAAAAAATGACTCAAATCATGTTTGAGACATTTAACTCTCCGGCTATGTATGTCGCCATCCAGGCTGTTCTCTCTCTTTATGCCAGCGGCCGTACAACTGGTAATTGTAAATGTTTTTGGAAAACAAATTGATATGACATTTGTTCATTTTTTGGTGTTTCGCTTATTTGTCAAGGGAGAACTACATTTACACTAAAAATTTGTAGGTATTGTACTTGACTCGGGTGATGGGGTCAGCCACACGGTCCCAATCTACGAAGGATACGCCCTACCACACGCAATCCTTCGTCTCGACCTTGCTGGCCGTGACCTCACAGACCATCTGATGAAGATACTCACTGAGAGAGGCTACTCCTTCACCACCACAGCCGAGCGCGAAATCGTGAGGGACATTAAAGAAAAACTCGCCTACATTGCCCTCGATTACGAACAAGAGCTGGAAACGGCAAAAACGAGCTCGGCTGTCGAAAAGAATTATGAATTGCCAGATGGACAGGTCATCACTATCGGCGCTGAACGATTCAGGTGCCCGGAGGTCCTTTTCCAGCCATCCATGATCGGGATGGAAGCTGCTGGCATTCACGAGACTACATATAACTCGATTATGAAATGTGACGTGGATATTAGGAAGGATTTGTACGGGAATATTGTGCTGAGTGGTGGGACCACCATGTTCCCAGGCATTGCTGACCGAATGAGCAAAGAGATCACGGCCCTTGCTCCGAGCAGCATGAAGATTAAGGTGGTGGCCCCGCCTGAGAGGAAGTACAGTGTCTGGATTGGAGGGTCGATTTTGGCTTCCCTTAGCACTTTCCAGCAGGTATATATATGTTTTTTTTTTTTCTTTAATCTTGATTAAATTTGAGG